TATACTTAGTAAAAATGGTTTGAGCGAGTCGCTACAAACCTTCTCTGATCTGCTAGTTCTGGTAAGCTGAAAGCTAGTAAAAGGAAATTGAGGCCGTTCAGGTGACCGAAACATTTGGGTACCAGATTAATTTTGCTTAGGGCCGCAATTGAGGCCGGGCTGATCTGTCATTATGACTGAAGCCGAAACTGTTCAGAGTATAGATAATTGGGATTGAAAAGGTCCGCGGCCTTTTGAGATGTGCAACACTCGGAGCAGCCGCTTTCTAAGTATCGAGCCACGTGTGTGTAGAGAGGCCAAAAATGGTATGCGTGTAGCTGGCTAATCATACTGAAGTATAAATCATTCTCGATGTATCAGTGGCGTATTTAGTTACGGCGACAAGATCGAGATGTGCATCCCTTTATCTTTTCTTGCATTTGGAAATATACCCTGGAAATGTTTTGTTTTGAAAGGTCAGTTTTATGTTATTCAATTGATATTCAGTGATTGTATCCATCGAATGCAACGGTGTCATGTCAATAATCAGAAATCAACAATCAGATCATGGTGTATATCGGGTACTTGGTGTATTGATGGCTTCATCAACGACTCAAGTGATTAGTAGAAAAATGCAATGTTGCATATCTCAAAAGGCCACCGACCTTGACTAGCCTGCCACATCTCTACTGCACTCCACTCGCTACGTTAGCATTATACTCCAATGTAAGATTACCCATATTTCCTTTGGCCGGACAATGACCACGCTACGACATGCAACAAAAAATTCTCTTTCCTTAGCTACCCAAGCTAGACCAAGTGTCATATGGGATTGTTGCATATCTTGAAAGGTCACCGACCGCCTCTCATTTGTTTATTCGTACAATTACTCTGCTCCTCAATAAAATCAATATGTTTGAATTACAGTTGCCAAGAAGGCCGTTGAAATAACCTTTTTTGGTGGCTGTGGCGGCAACTCCCACCCACTCAACTGGGTATTAAATCCTACATCACAAGAATCTAAAAATATTTAATTTCTTCAATCACCACCAATTTAAACCCGACTTTTAATGAGACAACACCTGCCGTCGCGCTTGGTAGGCACAAAAAATGTGACGAGCTCGGATGTGAGCGCGATGTAAGCGCTGCGAATGGGATCTGCGAATTTTCGGTTCATCGTGAACCCGTAGTTTTTAATTGTATGATCACACGGCCCGTTTGGAGACCGTAAGTGGGATTAAAGCTGAAGCCTTAAATGCGACCAGTTCCATTTTTAAAAGCAATTTTTTTTACATCCCATGAGTCTTTACTTTGGGCGATGATGGGCAGTGATGTTGATGGATCCTTAGTAGGGAGCCATGAACTAGGGATTAGAAGGTCGCTGGCCTTTTGAGATGTGCAACATTTGGTCTATGTGAAAGAATCAATCTTTCTGTATCTGCAAATTCATTTGGAAATATGATTTCTGGAGAAAGTTGATCACTTGGAAAACCATGTGCGTCTAATTGATCTCTTCAAACCTCTCGTATTTCGTTCAAAGCACCATACAACATTATCGCTCTTACTAAATTTGTTTCATCGAGACATGCAATTTGATTTTTCTTTTTTAAGGTGAATTTCAGTAGATACCTAATAAGTTTATTACAGGCTTAGAGCTACAGACTTTTTGCACTAAAGTCAGCGCAATTAGTATAAGCCTTCCAACCGTTATCGAGACCTAGGTACCGGCCGACTATGCAGCCACTGCCATTTTTACATCACTTGACATTATATATCCCACTTTTCGATAAGTCTCAGATTAAATAATCGTAGTCTTGGACTGCTGCTTATTGAATGGGGCTTTAATCTCTTGAAGAGGTCGCAGGCCTTTTGAGACGTGCAACATTTGGACGTTTGCGGTTAGGTCTTATGATGGTGTTAATTAAATTACGACATGATAGGGCGTGAGTGATAGATGCTGTTATCGGTAGAGCTTCTACCCATGATGGTCTGTATGTATGGGTATTTCTTACTTGGGGTTCAATACTAGTGTCAAGTAAGTCGTTCCAAAGTGTAAGTTACTTCCTTCTCACTTTCCTTCTGATGACACATTGCAGGTAGTTATCATGGTTATGGAACTCACTCTTCTCGTCCTCCTCTTCTACTGCGATATTTACAAAGCTTTCAGATTTTGATCATAAATTTTTATCACTACTGTTTTTACCGGTTTCCACAGGTTTCGGAATGCATCCAAGTTTGGAATCATTTCTTCCATCCCTTTCTCCATCGTACAAGTTCTTTCTATCTATTAACAAATGTGGTGGCTGTCTTATTTATTATCTGTCTTCTATTGAATGTTCTCTCATTCTTATTGCTTCCCGCGAAATGATCTAATTTCTTGCATTGCGTCATTTACGATGCATATTATTAGTTTAATAGTCAATTTCTAGCTGTAATTTCATCTAACTCATTCGTTCCATTTCTTCATAACCTCAGTTTCGGTCTATCTTCAATTTCCGTACTTATCCCATTCACAATATCGCTTGAACAAACCAAGATCGGCTACCCCGGCCTTTGTCTGTTCTCATCTCCCTTCACGCATACACCATTCCATTGTTCTAATCTCAAGCAAATCTGTTCACGAGCTCGGAATCTTTCCCGAAAGATCAAATTGTACTCCACACCCTTTGTTCCTCGCCTATTCCTTTGTTCCTTCCTCGTCTCTTTCCTGTACGTCTAGGTGGTCATTTCTTTCTACCTCATTGGTTCCCTTCTTCCCTCGGTACCTCGGACTCTATCACCTAATTCCGCGACCAGCTAACCGTAGCTCTTTCACCACTCTATCCGTTCTTCCGTCATCAATTAACTCGACTTGGTTGTTTTGAACTTCCTGGTAAAGCAGCAAGTATCTAAAAACTCCTTTGTTCTCTTATTCCCGAACGTTCCTGGTTGTTGTTTTCAAGGTGGTAAAGCAGCAAGTTCCTGCGAATTCTTTGTACGTTTTTTACGTTTATGTCAGGCGAGGTCGTCAGACGGAGAATTCGGAGTCGGACATGCAGCGTGATGTGTGCGTGTGCGATGGATCTGTAAGTTTGGAATCAGGGGAAGGAGATGGTTCTTTGTTGGAGACGAGATTGGAGATAAGAATTAGAAGGGATTACGTAGATGCGGCCGTAAGGGAGATCTCTTTGAGTGAGAAAATCAAAGTTCGGATTGATAGGCTTGAGGGAGGTGAAAGGTTGGTGTGATGGGGGAGATTGTGGTGAGATGAGGTGATTGAGAATTTAGGTAAACAGACAGGGTTTCTTTATCGACAGCGGTGATCATTGAAAATAGAGTATATTTCGGAGTCCGGCTGGGTGGTGTGAAATCGGGCTATAGGTGGTTTAATAATCAATGAATTAGCACCGTATCGAATGGAGTCTTAGACCAAGCTAAAGTCATCGCAGTAAAAACAACCCCAAGTTGGTAGAACTGAAGTTATTCACAACAAGTAAAGAGAGGATTCTCTTTCCAACTTTCCAGGGAATCGAAAGTAAGAGGAATCAACCCCTAGATATACCTTTTCCATTTGCCTAAGTTTGTTTGTATCTAGGAACATACCGATCACACTGGTTTCTTCTCCAATTCATCCCCGTGTATTTTTTCGATCCGTGAAGATATTATCGTGGGTTAGTGCCTCTTGGTGTATCGTGGTCATAGTTTCTTTGTTCGGTTTTTACCCTTCACTAGCGGATTGATAATTAAATCATACACATAGAGAAACCTGATATATGTGAGAACGACCAGTTTCACCGGATTTTTCTCCTAAATGCGCCCAAATCACTTTCCCATCCCTGCGAATTTGACTCTGTATTTTTGAAAACAGCAAATCGTCCATCTCGTGCTGACACTGGAGTTATTTCATTCCAGCTACCTTTCCCCCACCTACCAGCTAACCGTCAGTCTGTAAGATATGAATCTAAAATCGCTCCCTCTCACATCCAAAACATCACCTTTGGCGGAGTGGTATTGAATATTGCTTAATATTGGAACGATGTGATGGTTACAATGGTCCACGTTGATAGTGGAACACATTGGGAGCGTAGCTTGAGGCCTTTAGACCTTCAAGCTGAGATTTTGCTATTTTACTTTTGAAGCAGAGAGAGTTCTTATTTTTATCAGGAGGAAGAGGTTATTTTCGTTTTTGTGGATGGAGGTGAACTGAAAGTGGGGCGCGAAGGTGGATGGAGATGGTGAGATGGGACGAGTATGTATTTTGGGGAATAAGGTGGAGAGTGAATGATTAGGGATCGAGGTGAAGTGAGTTGCTTCAATACGTGTGGAAGCATCATAAATGAATCATAGTAGGAGTTCTGTTGCGGTTTTGATAAGTATCAAAAAAGCTTCAACCTGCTTCATGGGAGACAACTTACAACCTAACTTCTGCGCTACCACTGGAAAAGCTAGGCTTACAATTTAAAGAGGATATTTCATTATCTCAAAGGCCTATGAGGCAAATATTTAATACAGAACTGGCGTCTTAATAGTGATTTGCTCTCAACCTGCTCGCCATGTTTCTCATAGCGTCATTTTCTTTGGTAAAATCGGAGAAGCCTCTCGTGCACACTCTAATATAAATTCTATCTAGGTGGGATAGGTATTCTATGCATCAATATATCTTTCGGCGGAATTCAATTTCATCTTGAAGTCTTCTATCTAACGGAACGAGCCGCGTTCGAGTAATGTTTCCTCTCGATGTTCACTCTACTCTTGCAAACACCTTGCACATAAAATGTTAACATGATAATCAGAAATACACAATGTACGAGAATCATGATGTGAAATCTGCAATTAATGTTAGCCTCTCTATGCTACTAATGCTAGTGTTCTCTATCTTGAGCTCAGATATCTGCTCCCATGATGATCATCAAAATACTCCCATAAATATGCTCTAAACCTCACTGAGCTCCGAGTTCTAATAAGCTCGAAAGATAGCTCCTGCCCATCCGTCCAGCCACTGATATCCGTCGCTTCAAAAGGATCTCGCAAAGGAGTATTCCTCAACTCAAAGAAGACTCATCATTGAGCTCCGAATCGTCAACAAAGTCCGAGAAAGTTTCGTCTTGCAAAGCTGTTGTATCACTGACATCCGAGTCATCGGGATAGTCTCGCACAGACATTGTCTCCTCGGTATCCCTATCGCTTGAAGTATCTCTCGGAGAAGTCCTATCATTGAGCTCCGAATCCTCAGAGAAGTCCGGAAAAGTATTCCTCAAGAAAGTCGCATCATCGAGCTCCGAATCCTCGGTGAAATCCGGATTAGCATTTCTTTGCAAAAGCGTCGTATCACTGATGTTAGAGTCTTCAGAATCGTCTCGAAAAAATATCTTCTCCTCAATATCCCAATCACTCGAAGTATCCCGCATAGACTGTTCGTTATCCACAACCTGCTCACCAGAGGGTTCCGGAAGAAGTATCCTATCTATCCTTGATATCCTTGGCGCCAGATCAATATCAGGAGACCGCTCTCTCTCAAACGGGTCAAAAACTCTGGGCTCAAGACTTCCGTCCTCTTTCCTGATCAACAGCGCCCTCGCCATATATTCACGAAGCGAACCATCATTACCCGCCATAAAAGAAACGATCAATCTCAGAGTCAACGAAGATTTCGCATTCATATAGGCAAACAAAGCAAGCGAATCACCGAAAAACGGATCTCCCTCAAACTCCGTATCCAAATCATCGAAATGTTCCTCCCATCTCTCCACAAGCAATTGCCGATTCACCGGATGACTTTGCAGAACAATTACAAACAGCTGTCGAAAGATATGTCCTGGAAGAATCCGCAGTGCCGTGACAATTCCTCTCATGGTGGTTTCTCTCTCCTCTTGTCGTGCTTCGATTTCTGCTTGCATGGCTTCGGCTTCTTGTTGGATGGTGGTAATGTCGAGGTCTCTGGTGGCGATCAGACGAGCGATGACATATTCGAGCTCATGGATTTGGAGTTTCATGGCTAGTTTGTTTGTTAGTATTTTTACTTGTGTTTGAGGGGATCCACATACCAGAAGTGATTACCTCCCGTCCGGCGGCAGTACGCGCCATTTTGTATAACAGACTTTGTAACTTGACGATAAAAGTTGAAAAAAGTTGATATTGCACCAAAAAAGACTTCTTGTTGTAGACCTAGATATTCCGCAGAGGCGATCTAAAGGCTCAATCTGTGTTGTATGATCTGTGGTTGAAGTTGTGGAGGATAAGAAGGAAAAGCGAGAAATAATTTTCAACCTTTAAATAGGTAGGTAGAATAATAGATTCAAGTATTTGGCAGCTCGGACTTTGTTAGCAATTATTACAGTTGATATTCACTTTCATCTTGTCACTAACAATTTTAACACTGTATTTAACATTTTATGGTGTGCAAAGGACATAGATGTAGATTTGTTTTGTCATGTAGTCAATTGTACTGCATCCTTTATATAACTGCCAGCACTACCTTTGTGATGTTCCTTTCTAGTCATCACCAGAAACCTTCCACAAAGCAACAACGAATCCCATTTTGTTAGAGCAGATGCAATGTCTTCTTCAGACTCAGAGAGTGTTGAAAGACTCCTGGCTGAAGTCCCGACTCGTGAAACTGCCATCCTTCTGTTCAACCAACTTCTTCTTCAAGGATTTCTCAATGAAACCATTATCAATTATCAAACTTCTAATCAATTTTTGGAGACTTGAAAGGTGAGATTCCTTGATCCAGTTGATACATTTCGTAAGATCCAGCTCATTCTCATTTCCACTCCTCATCATTTCCGGGCCCCAATACCTCCCAAACCATTCTCTGACTTGGAGATCCTTCTTAAGGACTTCTATGACAATTCGTTGAGCTTCATGGACTGGAAGGCAGTGAACAGCATGGAGTACAGCTCGGAGTAGAGATTCTTGTGTCAATCTCTCTCTCTCTCTCTCTCTCTCTCTCTCTCTCTCTCTCTCTCTCTCTTGAATTTCATCGAGACCGTTTTGAATATCCTTATGGGTGACCTTTCCATCCTTGATCAGTTTCGCGATTTTTCTACCATACTGATGTCCAGGATGATCCACTTGTCGTATCTTTAGCAGTTGCCATAATCCGAAGCTCAAGAAATTATACTGACCAAGATTAAGATCATCGCGACCAGCAATGAGGCCATTAGATGATGAGCCAGACTTGGGTTCAGCGCCATTTCCAGATAGACTTGCCATTTTTGGTGGTTCTTGTTCCGATGGTAGAGGAAACTGTGGTTGACTGTTAGCAAATACCATCAACTCAATCTTTTGAAAATACATACCAATTTGGCACTGTCTTATACGAAGTTGTTATGAAATATAAAAGTTGAGAAGGTTTAGAAGCCGCGACAGCAATACCCAGTAGGTATTGAGCTGGATGGCTAGCAGCGCGCTAGACCGAATTGGAACAAACTTCACCTTTGATACTCACCTTCAAATGATCTCCTTTCCGTTCATGACGATTCATGCTGTATATGTAGGTGATTTTATGTATATATCAGGTTCAGATCAACAGTGTCTGGGTAGTCAAAATCAGATTTTAGGTCACAACATATCAAAGAGCAAAAAGCTATCAACCTATAGTTCGATTAGATGAGTTTCTCAATGAGGGTATCTAATCTACTTGTCGATTAGTTATTCCTGAGTACCGCAGCACAAAACTATCTATCGTCATAATGACCATTCGTCAATTCTCCCCTCTCCTAAACCCCCTCCCGATCAGAATCTCTCCCCTCATCCCCTCATCCCCTCATCTCACCACCCAACTCCTCCACACGCTCCACCACACCCCCATCCAAAAATCTCCTGACCTCCCATCTCCCATCCTCCAGCTTCTGCAACAACAACCTCGTCAACAACCCCCTCACAATCTTATTCCCTACCACCAACTCCTCCACCACATCCCTCCACCTATACACCACCACCTTCCCCTCTCTCCTCCTCACCTCCTCCGCATCATCCAGCAAATTCTGCACCCACAATCTCACCAAGCGATTCCGACTCAGGAAGATTCCAATTTCCTTGACTTCCTGCGAGGAGCACGTATCAATTGTTTTCAAAATGAGATATTGTCTCGTTGACTCTTCTCCCGTGGCGATGCCGATATTATTACTATCCGGATGGGTGATACCGCTTGCGCGCTCGTTGATCTGAGAGAGCATTTTATTGTGGGTTTCTTGGTAGAGGAAGTATTCTTCGTCTTGTTGGCGGGTGGTGAGGAGGGATGGAGAAGAGGGAGTGGAGGATCGTGCTCTCCTGGGTGAAGGAGGTTGAGATCTGGATGGTGAGATGGAGGATGAGGACCGGGATGGTGATGGTCTAGTTCTCGGGGGAGATGGAGGTACTTGCTCGTTTTGATATCGGGGGTGTATAGTGTTAAGATTTGGATGAGCACTAAGGGGCCAACCATGCGTATTGTTCTGCATTGTGAAAGGCTTTGGATGTATGTCATTAATATGCGCAAAATTTGATGTAGTAGAATATTAGACCGGATCTTGTTGGATGCGGCTGGAATGAACTAAGTAGTGTTTTCTTAAAGTTTTATACCCAGAAGGATTGTAGAGAGATATTTAAAGACTTTGAAGTGAGAGATTAGTAAAACAATGCTAAATTAATACTGCAAACTCAAGTCTTATTGCTGTACTATTGTATGGGATCCAGAAGGATATCACCGTAAGTACCTATTCACAATAAGATCGCTAACTTCGATATGGTAGCTTAGCCGGAGATCTTTTGACGGGATATCTCATTCTGCGATGCCCGAGTAAAGATATTGAGAAATCAAGAAATCGACCTGCTGAATATCTTTCAGACGGATCAAAATGTCGAGGTTCTAGAAGGTCTGATGAACTAAGAGATCCTATTGAAAGAGTTATCCCAAGGGAAGGAAATCTTAACAAACAAAACAAGATTGGAGGACTCAAGAATTTTTCCAAAAAAAGAAAAACAATCTTGAAGACTTGAATCCTCCAGAACTACCAATTCAAAGCCATCTCATCACCAATTTCTCACATCCACGCCAACCTCACCATCTCCCCTCCAAAATCCAAACTCAAACCCTAACCAATCCCCATCAAAGCCACTCACACCAAACACCACCTACTCAACTCCTCCAATACCATCCCCCTTCTCCCCCATCCAAAAATCAACCCTCCAAACCCTCCAATCCCCCTCCTCAAAACCAAACCTCCTAACCTCCACCCCCTCCCTCCCCACCCCCATACCCCTCACCACAAACTCCCTAAACTCAATTCCCCTCTGCGGATGATTTCCCATCTGCACAAATCTCCTCCTCACATCTACCTCTTCTATCGCATTTACAATCTTCTTAAACTCATCGAGACGATCTCGATGTAGATACTGCATCATCGGGGATAATTGCAAAATATCCCCCTCGGAAGCATTCTCCTGAGAAGCTGCTGGGTAAAACAATACGGGAGCGACGGGATTCTCAGTGCTGTAAGATCGGCGAGTTGATGGTCGAGGGAGAATCGGATTATTCTGTGTAGTAAGTGTTGTGAGCGAAACTTGGTACTGGTCACGTGACCTCTTTCTGTAGCTAGTATTTATAGATCTTCTTTGTGTAATTTAAAGAAAAGTAGTCAGTTTCCATTTACTTTTTTATACGCTTTGTAATATGCTATATAGTATTTATTCCTTCTTTTCTTTATTAAAGGTATTATATTTCAATAATTTATTTGTAATATTTATAAAGAACTATTTTATAATCCTATTATCTTTTATTTGTTTATATTAATGATTTATACAAAAAAAAGAATGTTAAAAGATTAAAAAGCTATATACAAATCTAAGCTTTTGAATTATTTCAAAAAACAGAAAGTTATTAATTTGAAAAAATCAATAGAAAATAAAAAAACGAAAAATTATTTAGTATTACAAAAAAGTTAAACAATACTGATTCAATAATAAATGGAGAAGGGAATATATATTCCCTTCCAAAAACCGAATTGTAGTTTTGTATAGATTTGAAATAGGATATAATTGTTTGTAAATAGATTATACTTTATTATTATAGAAAGATTATGAGAATAATTTATAAAAATCTTTTCAATAATATTTATAGGAATTTGGATAAATAGTTGACTTTGAGAAAAAAAGTTTTTTTTTATAAAATAAATCTGAAAAAGGTTGGGTAGTATTTATTTCTTGTATTTCAATATAGGGAATTTTGAGTTTTCTGAAAAACCTTTATGTTTTTCGATATTGTTTATACTTAAATGGGATTTAATTATTTCAAGAAATTTAAAATTGTTTATAGTAAGATTGGAGGAGGATTGTTGTTAAATCTAAATAAAAGATTGTTTATAGGAGTAATCTATTCGACTCAAGTTTAGGATATTCAGAAGTATTTTCGAGAGAAATCTGTGGTTAAGGCTTTTTATAATAAGATATTAATCTATAATTTTATTTTTTTTCCTTTTTTATAAGATTTAAGAGAATAGGAGTTTCGGAAAATGTAATTTTATTAAATTTTGGTAAAGTTGTTAAAAGAGGAAATAAGAGGATTTGTATTTATATTATATAAAGAAATATTGTTTATTTAATTATTTAATTACTTTTTATATTATATTAATATAATTATAAATAGAATAATAATTAATTAATAATATATTTACTCCTGATTTTGGAATTAAGTTTCGGGAAAATGAACTATTTATTGTAGATTCTAAGTCTTCAATCTCCTTATTTATTGTTGATATTCCTAGTATTAATAATTAAAAAAAGGATTTATTAAAACTAATTACAATTTTAGCTAATTGAAAGATAAATGATAACAAGAAACCTAAAAAAGATTTCGATTTGAAATAGATGAAAAGAAACCTTAGTGTTGAATAGCTTACTATTTATTTGAATTACTTTTCTAAGGCTTTTATACTCTCAATCCCTTTATCTGAAATAATTGGAATACTATGATTCAAAGGTTTCAATATTATCGATTAATATGAAGAAATAGAATACTTTCTTCAGAATTATCAAATACAAGTCAAAGACTTCTGAATATATATATTTCTCTAAATAAATTGCTTATTTCGAAAAAAAATCAAAGTTATAAAGAAATAGCAGATAGAAGAATAGAACTAGAAAAAGCATTTCAAATCTGCTTTTTTTAAAGAATATTTCAATAATGATTTTATTTAGAAGATATACTCCTATAATTATTTATAAAAGCTTATTAAAAAATATAAAAAGAAAAAAGAAATAGAAGTTAATAATCTTAGTTGCTATATTCAATAATTTAATCAAATTATATAATAGTTTATTAAAAATAAAGCTTCAATAAAGAGTGAAGTTATTAAATTCTTTTTTAAAAGTATATCGTTTAAAGTTTTTTAAAAGTATATCATTATAATCAAATATAATATGAAATGGTTTAGTATAATGGATTGGGATAAAGTGTATTACTAAGCAATATAATATATAGAATCTAAATCTTAATATATTCTTTTCAATAATAGTGATAATAAGGATTCTGATTTTAATAAAATACTGGAATTTATTATTTCAATTAAAAAGATATAAGAAAAGAAGAGTGTTTTAATAGTTTAAAGGATAGATAAGCTTAAGAAAGTGATTAAAATCCTGAAGGATTTTACTTTCTTTCTAAAAAAATAAACTATAGTAAACTCTAGAATTATAGAAAAGATTAAGACAAAAAGGATTCTTTTTGATTATAATACTATAGAAATACTACAAATTGTAATTTATGAATTAATTCAGATTTTTTCCCCTGATATTATTAATATAATTACCAACAATATTATTATTAATCTCAAAATATTAAAAGTATACTCAATCTATAAGAAGGTATACTATAATTATAATAATAAATAATCTAAAAATAAAAACTATTATTTTAAAAAAAATTATTCAATCTTTTGAGAATATATTGAAAAAGGATTTATATATTATAACAAAATAGCTTAATTATACTAGGAATCTAGAGGTAAGATAATTAATTCTATTCTAGTTATATATAATAACAAAAATGGCCTAAGTTTAATCAAGAAAATAAGGCTTTGAGCTTTTTAGAATGGCTAACTAAAGTCTAAGAAAGATAAGGAGATTATATAATTTGTGAATATAAAGAGTAAATTAATCAATATTCTAATAAATAACAAAACATATATAATCCAAAAGTATATTAATACTATTAAAAATATACAAAAAAGGCAAAGCAGATCATTACATAACAACTCAAATAGAATAATAAAAGTATACCCAAATACCTCTTCAAAACCTTTTATTTTATTTATAAATAAAATCCTTAAATTTAGCTATTAATAATCTATTATCGATATAATATCATAGAATATTATACAAAAAAGTTCTATGGATACTCAATTTTATAATACAAAAGATTTTATTATAGAGATTGTAATCGAAAAAGTATTAGATAAGATTAAGAAATTAAGGTAAAGAATAGTTTTTTATATAATAAATAATAGTTATAGTACAATAAAAGCTATAGATTAAGAAATATTTTCAATCAAGATCTTAATTATTATAGATTTTATTATTAAGGAATACCTTAATATATAGAAAAGGTAAATTATAAAAATAGATAATCCAATAAAACCTTCAGTATTTAATAGTTTTATAATAAAAATAATCAATAAACTTTCTATTTTTTTCAAACCAATAAAATATATTAAAGCTTTAAATACAATTTATCCAGAAGCTATTTATAATATAATAAATATATTTTCTCAAAATAATAAAGAAAATCTTTTTTATATTAAAATATTTCTTAATAATTATAGATCTATTAAAACAATCCCAGATTCCAAATCAATAATCAATTTAATTAATATAAATCTAATAATAAAACTCAATCTTTTAATAAATTCAATATAAGTAATGGTTATCAGTATTAATTCTACAAAAATAAATATTAAAGGACTTTACAAGGATATACGAATATCTTTTAGAGGGATATCAAATATTATTAATCTATTTATAATGGAAAATATATACAATAATTTATTTTTGAAAATACTATAAATTATTATAAAAAAAGTTATCTTTGCTTATAAAAATGGATTCTAATATATTATAATTATAGATAATAATAGAAAGAATTAAGTAAGTATATAATATACTAATTAAAAGACTATAATTCCTTTTTGTATAATAGAAAATTAGAATTTGATATTTTAAGAGGATAGGGTGTTAGAATAAATGTGAATTTTTTATTAAGATATAACTTTGTTAAAATTTGATAAAGTTATATTAGGTTATATATCAATATTCTATATAAAAATAAGGCAATCAAGGTATTTCCTTCAAATTAATTTAAGAATCTAATAGGTAAAGAATTAGGAGGAAAAAGCAATTGGCTGGAAAGGTATAGGGAATAGAATCCTTATTTATATTTATTAAAGAAATAAAAAGATTATTTTATTTT